GTTCAAATAAACTGCCTGGCCCTTTGTTGCCTCTCTTTGCCTGCTTACTTTGGTTGAAATTTATTGGAATTTATCTTACACAGGACTTGATTGCTTTTCCCACACACTCTGTTGATGTGTAATCAAGGACTGAGTGATGAGAACCAAAGCAGTTCTCATGTCTCAGAGTCATCTTCACACAGTTTTGGTGTCCTTGAGAAGCTTCTGTAAGATAAATTCTACCTTATTTGAACTGTGTATTAACCCCATCAATCCCACACAGCCCTCTAGGTAATTCTGCAAAATTAGCTTATCAATATTGTCAGTCAGTCCTCCAATTTGTTTGCCAAAGAGTATGTTAAGAATCTTTTTTCTTAAACTTCTTGGGTTTTTAAAAAAATGCAATTTTGACATTAAAGTGGGATCTCCCTGTCTTTATTATGCTGTTTATAGGTGGGCCTTTTTAGCAGGTTAGAGTAAATCTTAACAATTGACACAATGAAGACATGGGCAGTGCTCAGATACTTTTATCTGGGGAATATTCAAACCTTCAAGGCCAAGTTGCTCTTGACCTTTTGAGCTTTAACTGATTAACTCTGAGTCTTTTCCAGCTTTCTAGTTTTAACTGGTTAACTGAGTCCTTTCTAAGCGGCTTTATTGACCTTGTTCTCTTTTCACTCTGCTCATATCTATTTTCCTGCCCCACAGGAAAATACAATCTCAAAGTAGGGAAGGATTTCTTAAACAAGAAACAAAAGCAGTAATTGTGAAGAAAAGTATTACATTATACTTCATTAGGAGGCATTTTCTTTTTAAGCTATTTTGCAACATTAAGACTACTATGTTCTTTTTGCCTTAAGGAGGGAGAAAATATTAGTGAATGTCAATTTAAAATGAGGAAAGGGTTCAAAAGCCTGTTTCTACTGAAATCTGATCTTGACCTCACCTGAGGTCAGATTTTAGTAGGTTCAAACCCTTTCTTCTCTTCCAGTTTCTAATTCAGAATAGTAAGTGTTGTCTTTTCCTATTTTGTCTATAGATACAGAAAAAAACTTTTAAATAAATGTGTAGGGAACTAAGAGTTTCAGAATAAGAGTTTCAAATATATATGAGCGAAAGCTCTTTTGACTTAAACAGAAAATATTACTATGATGTATTTTCTTTTTAGAAAGCAACCCTTTTCCCTTGCGCCTTCAACAGAAAAGTTCTACAAGCAATCACAATCCATGAATAATGAGACCTCCACCATCCCAACTATAGTTTCTCAATTCCTTTTCCACTCAGCTATTTGGAGATTTGGTTAAATGTTATGTATTTAAATAGATTTAAAAAACCTAACAACCAAATGCCATGTGTAAATGTAATGGAATCCCAACTCAGATAAAATCATTGTAAAAAACATTTGAGGCAATGTGGGTAAAGTTGAAACATTTCCAGAATATTTTGCTTGGCTTTAGTACATCTGCACATCAACAGGCGTTCAGAGGTGGAAAGAAGTATGGCTTTAGTACATTTGCATCTTTCCTCAGGGGTGGAGAAATTCATCTCCATATCAGCGGGTAATTACCTGGGCAAAGGAGGGCTTATCTGTACCTGAGAGGTGAGGGGGAGGGCCATTTTTACTGCTGCTAGAGCAGGAGAGAGACTTGCGCCAGACTGCAAATTTTAAGCAATAAACGGATTTTAAACTTTATTTCTCCCTTTGACTGATTTCGGTTTTTACAGGTATTTTGCCCCAGGATTTCCTCCTCCCAGACTAACAGGCAATTGAAGATTTTTTTGGAAAGCTCTAGATATTGGATGATGTCAAACATCATGATTAAATTTTCTTAGGTGAGAAAATTTTGTGTTTTGTTTAACCCTGTCAGGACGTTTATATAAATACTCATAACTGAAACAATATGCTTGTGATTTCTTTATACTGTCCCCTTCCCACCCACTGC